AGCGCATTCATTCCGGTGGCAGTTACCTATTCTTCAGAGCGGTTGGCAGAGATTTATATCCGCAAGATCATCTGCCATCACGGTGTGCCCGTGTCTATCATTTTTGATTGAGGTACGCAGTTCACCTCGCACTTCTGGAGGTCAGTACAACGTGAGTTGTACATGCAGGTTGAGTTGAGAACAACATTTCATCCTCAGAGGCAGACAGTCCGAGCGGACTATTAAGATATTGGAGGATATGTTTTGTTCTTGTGTTATAGACTTCAGAGGCTTTTGGGATCAGTTCTTGCCGCTCGTGGAGTTTACCTACAACAACTACCAGTCGAGCATTCTGATGACTCCCTATGAGGCATTATACGGTAGGCGGTGCCAATCGCCAATTGGATGGTTCGAGTCGAGTGAGGTTCGGTTATTAGGTACAGATTTGGTACAGGACGCCTTGGATAAGGTCAAGATTATTCAGGATAGACTTCGCACAACTCAGTCCAGGCAGAAGAGTTATGCCGACCGTAAGGTTCGTGATATTGCATTCATAGTCGGAGAGAGAGTGTTTCTCCGAGTGTCACCCATTAATGGAGTAATGAGGTTTGGAGAGAAGGGCAAGTTGATCCCTAGGTACATCAGACCTTTTGAGATTCTTCAAAGAGTGGGTGAGGTGGCTTACAAGCTCGTATTGCCACCTAGTTTGTCAGCAGTTCATTCGGTATTCCATGTGTCCATGCTCCAGAAGTACCATGGTCATCCGTCTCATGTGCTAGATTTTAGCTTTGTCCAGTTGGACAAGGATTTGACTTATGAGAATGATCCGGTGGCCATCCTAGCCCGGCATGTCTGCTAGTTGAGATCAAAGAGTTATCCATCAGTTCGAGTGCAGTGGAAAGGTCATCCTATCAAGGCAACTACTTGGGAGTCCTAGTTGGACATGCAGAGTAGATATCCACACCTTTTCACCAGCCCAGGTACTTTTCTATGTCTGTTCAAGGACGAACGGTTATTTTAGAGGTGGAGAATGAGATGACATGTTTTAAAACCCAATTTTGTGTTCTAAAGCCTTAATATCTCATTTTAGCCTTTCTCGATTTGTGTGCGCGGTTTGGGTGTTTTTTCGAAAGGCTTATATGTTAAAAATAGATAAAAATAAGAATTTGGACTTAAAATTTATTTGAGTTGACTTCGGTCACTATTTTGAGTGAACGGACTCGGATCCTTATTTTGACGGTCCCGGAGGGTCCGTATCGTAATTTAGGGATTGGGCGTATGCTCGGAATCGAATTCCGATGTCCCTAGCTTGAGATATGGAATTTTGATGAAAAATTAAAATTTTGAAAGTTTAATGATTTTAAGAATTTACTGATGTTTGGTCTTGTTGATAACAGAACCGTATTTTGGTTCTGGAGCCCGGTACAAGTCCAACGTTATATTTATGACTTGTATGTGAAATTTTGTGAGAAACAGAGTTGGTTTAATGTGATTCGGACGTTCGATTGTGAAAAATAAAAGTTTTAATGTTTTCTTAAAAATTTCATTTGATTTGGTGTTCAATTCGTAGTTCTAGGTGTTATTTTGGCGATTTGATCGTGCGAGCAAGTTTGTATGATATTTTAGGACTTGTGTGCATATTTGGTTTGGAGTCCCGACGGCGCGGGTGAGTTTTGGATAGGCTACAGAATGTATTGAACTTAGAAAACATAATAGTTGATGCAACTGATCTGCAGGCTTCGCATTTGCGAAGAGGCCATTGCATTTGCGAGCAGTGGGCTGGGTAGAGGACCTTCTCATTTGCGAAGTTTTGATCACATTTGCGATCCTAGGAGTCTGCATTTGCGAACACTGGTTCACATTTGTGATGGCAGCAGACATAGTCATTCTTTGTATTTGCGAAGACTTGTTTGCCTTTGCGGGGTTCGTATTTGCGAACCTCAGGTCGCAAATTCGATACCTGCATCTGATCAAATAGTTAGAAAAAATGGAATTTTCACTCATTCTTCAAATTTTCAAAACAAGAAAACCCTAGGGGCGATTTTTCCTAGACTCTTGCTTCCCCAAATCATTGGTAAGTGATTCTAACCCATTTTCTTTCAATCTTTTATTACATTTCACAAGATTTTAACCTAAAATCTAGTGGTTTCATGGTGAAAATTTGGGGGTTCGGGTAGAATTAGGGATTTTTGAGAAAATAGGATTTAGACCTCAAATTGGGGTCGGATTCCAAAACAAATTATATGACCGGGCTCGGGAGTGAATGGGTAATCAGGTTTTGGTCCGAATTTCGGGTTGGGACCAAGCGAGCCTGGGAGTTGACTTTTGTTGACTTTTCAATAATGACCTAAATTGAATCTTTTGAAATCGTGAGTTATTCCTAAGGCTTATTTTGAATTGTTTGGTTGATAGTTTGCTAGATGTTGTTGGCTCAGAGGCTTGTTTGAAAGGCAAAGTTGTGGTTGAGCTTTGAATGATCTTTGGAGCGAGGTAAGTGTTGTGTCTAACATGTAATTGAGGGAATTAGGAACCCTCGGACTATGTGCTATGTGAATTTCATGTGAGCAGCATATATGCGAGGTGACGAGTGCTTATACGCCGCCGAATTATCTGTCTTCCCTGATTTCCCACTTTTAATTATTTCCTTCCCTGTCTTAACAGTTATATGCTCTAAATGCTTTCCATGCTTAACTGCTACTTTTTAATGAATTTCTTCTCTTGTTAATGATGTTAACTCTTCGATAATTTCATGATTCCCTGCTATTTGCTTAAATTGACTAACCTGCACCTCCTAATAGTAAATTACTGGATTGGTCTCGCTGTGTAGTATTAGTCATTTAGATTTCTATATTGTACAAGGTTTCCCTATTTTGTTCAGTTTGGTATTTATTCATCGTATAGGTTTTGCGGTTTGAAATATTGATTTGACTGGGCATTGGGTATTTGGTACTGATATGGTGGGATCGGGCTGCATGCCGTAGCAAGTGTAATAAGGGTGGATTAATGTGGTGGAATATGGGTGAAAATGTACTATACGGTGGAATCGGGTTGCATGCCGCAACATGTGGAATAAGGGTGGATTGATATGGCGAAATAAGGGTGAACTATGATATTGATATTGATATATGGTGGGATCGGGTTGCGCGCCGCAATATATTTATGTATATTATCTCTATTGTTGATGCTATTACGGTGAAATAAGGGAGTATTTTATGTTGTCTGGTGGGATCGGGTTGTGCGCCGCAACAACCTATATGTTTCCATTTCTTGAGATGAGTTGGTTTCCAGTATTTTTATTTGGACTGTTAAATAATGGTAATTTTGGACGACACTGGTTTATTCTTGAGACTGTGGTTATTATTTTCAGTTCACTGTTTAATTTTGTTCTGTATTCCTATTTTCTGTCATTATTATATATTGCGTACAAGTTGTAGTGTAGGTGTACCGCCTTAGCCTCGTCACTACTTCGTCGAGGTTAGGCTCGACACTTACCAGTACATGAGGTCGGTTGTAACACTTCTATGCAGATTTTGGAGTCAGTCCCAGCGGTGGGTACTAGAGAGCTCGGATTGGACAACCTGCGGAGAATTAGGTATAGCTGCTCAGCTCCCGCAGCTCCTAAAGTGCCCTTCCTTTTTATATCTAGTTGTGTATTATCATCCAGACAACTTTGTATTTATTTTCGACCCTTGTATGTATTACTCTAGGAGATCGTTCACTTGTGACACCAGGTTCAGGGATTTTGTAGTACGTGTTTGACAGTTTTAGCTTCCGCATTCATATTTCAGATTCTTCAGTATTTCTCGTTATTCAATTCAACTATTAAAAATAGATAATATGTTCTAACACTGGCTTTCCTAGAAAGTGAAATGTAGGCGCCATCACGGTTCCGACGGTGAGAATTCTGGGTCGTGACATTTGTGGGCCGAAAAGTGAGCTTTGAGACGAGGTAAGTCTCTTGCCTAACCTGGTAAGAGGGAATTTACCCCATAGGTGATTTAAATTACTTTTTGCTTCTAATTTTGGGAGCCACGTACGAACGAGGTGATGAGAGTCCGTGTGTAGCTACTAATTATGCTTATGTTCTGATAGTTTATGACCCAAATCATGAAATACTTATAATGTTGCACCCTGCTTGTTAATTAAAGTGCCAAAATTATATTGAAACTTGATAAAGGATTTGTAAGGGACGTAATTTCACTTACATGAGTTTTTGGCGGGTTACTTTATCGTTATAAGAACTTGTGCTTCTTTTTATATTAGCCTTGTAATAACTTTTAAATCGGATGTTCATAACATATCCTCTCTTCCTGTGAAGCGGGATGAACGTCTCAGCAGTAGAATGGATGCATCTATCATTCGTGTCGCTCGACCCTCAGCATTGAACACATTATTCTGGATGGCACAAATCGTGCGTGTTAATGCTTGGAGCCCGAATATACTTGATATATTATTTTTCATGAACTGAGAGGTTATAATTTAATTATTTGCTCAGAATCTATATGGATTAGTATGTGTTAGTGGGGGACTTGTAGAATTTGCTATTAGTTAAAGAATCATTTAATCACTGTTGCTATTGTGTTAATATTGTTATTCACATATTCTATGCATATTTAGCATTTCTATATTTCCAAAGATGGACGAGCATTTGGTTACTTTTCAGAGTATGGTGGCGAAGACTCAGATTTACTATCTTCTCCTTAGGAGGTGCGACAGAGAGTTGTGTAAGGATTGTAAGGTTATCCCGGGTAAGGCCCTCGCGACGCAACATAGGCTCTTGGTGATGGACGTCGGTATTATGATGAAGAGGAAGAAGAGGAGTGCACGAGTTTGACCGAGGATCATGTGGGGAGCCTTGAATAAGGATAAATCTTAGGAGTTGTAAGGGAGGTTATTGGCTGTGGGAGCCTGGAGGAGTAGTGGGGACGCAAGCATTATGTGGTCGACAAAGGCAAATTACATACGGGAGGCAGCGAGAGAGGTGTTGGGAGTCTCGAAGGGTTAAGCTGGTGGTCACAAAGGCAACTGGTGGTGGAATGAAGTGGTTCAAGGTAAAGTGGAAGCAAAGAAGGCGGCGTACCTGAATCTAGTTGGGAGAACATGTGAGGTAGAGAGGAGTGCGAACAGGGAGAGGTATAAGGTAGCTAGGAAGGAGCAAAACTGGCGGTCACAGAGGCTAAGTCTGAGGCTTTTAGTCATTTATACGAGGAATAAGGCGAGAGAGAGGAAGGCCCAAAATCAGGACCAAGTGAGGTGCATCAAAGACGAGGATGGTAGAGTATTGATGGGTGAGGCCCAGATTAAGCGGAGATGGAAGACTTACTTTCATAAACGTTTGAATGAAAAGCGGGATTGGGATATTGTGCTAGGCGAGTTGGGGCATTCCGAGAGCCTCCGTGATTTTAGGTACTGTCGGCGCATCAAGGTTAGGGAGGTCATGGGGGCTATGCGTAAGATGAGCAGGGGCAGAGCTACAGGGCCCGATGAGATTTCGATCGAATTTTGGATGTGTGTGGGTAGAGCAGGCTTGGAGTGGTTGATTGGGTTGTTTAATGTTATTTTCAGGATGAAGAGGATACCGGATGAGTGGAGGCATACGGTGGTTCTGTTGTACAAGAACAAAGGTGACATCCAGAGTTGCAACAACTATAGGGGTATCAAATTGAGTCATACCATGAAAGTATGGAAGAGGGTAGTAGAAGCGAGGGTGAGGAGGACGGTGTCTGTATCAGATAACCAGTTCGGGTTCATGCCGGGTCATTCTACTATGAAAGCTATCCACCTTGTTAGGAGGTTGGTGGAACAGTACAAGGATAGGAAGAAGGATTTGCACATGGTGTTCTGGAGAAAGCATATGACAAGGTTCCTAGGGAGGATCTTTGGAGATGCCTAGAGGTTAAAGGTGTGTGGGTTGCTTACATTAGGGAGATTAAGGACATGTATGATAGAGCTAAGACTCGGGTTAGCATAGTGGGAGGCGACTATGAGCATTTTCCGGTTGTTATGGGGTTACACCAAGGATCTGCCCTCAGCCCTTTCTTGTTTGCTCTAGTGATGGATGCACTGACAGACCATGTTCAAGGAAAAGTGCCATGGTGTATGTTATTCACTAATGACAATGTTTTGGTTGACAAAACGCAGAGTGGCGTGAACGAGAGGCTGGAGGTTTAGGGACATACCCTTGAGTCTAAGGGTTTCAAGTTGAGCAAGATGAAGATGGAGTATCCTGAGTGTAAGTTCAGTGCCGAGCCGAGGGAAGCGGGCATGGACGTCAGGCTTGGATCGCAGGTCATTCCCAAGAGAGGTAGTTTCAATTACCTTGGGTCGATTATCTAGGGGGATGTGGAGATCGACGAGGATGTCACACACCGTATTGGGGTGGGGTGGATGAAATGGAGGTTAGCATCTAGAGTACTGTGTGACAAGAAAGTGCCTTCGCTACTCAAAGGTAAGTTTTATAGAGCGGTGGTTAGGCCGGCATGATGTATGGGGTTGAGTGTTAGCCAGTTAAGAACTCACATAACCAGAAGATAAGAGTAGAAAAAATGAGGATGTTGAGGTGGATGTGCGGGCATACTAGGATGGATAAAATTAGGAATGAAGATGTTCGGAGAAGGTGGGTCTGCCTCCCATTTATGACAAGATGCGGGAAATGAGGATCATATGGTTCGGGCACGTTCAGAGGAGGAGCTTGGATGCCCCGGTAAGGAGGTGCGAGCGGTTGGCATTGGTGGGTACGAGGAGAGGTGGAGGGCGGCCTAAGAAGTATTGAGGAGAGGTGATCACGCGGGATATGGCGAGGCTTCAGATCTCCGAGGACATGGCACTCGATAGGAAGCTGTGGAGGTCGAGCATTAAGGTCGTAGGTTAGGAGGTAGTTGAGTTCATTTAGTCTACTAGTGTGAGGCTAGGCTGATTGGATTTAGTCTTAGACTGCTAGTGGTCAATGTTGTGTTTTCACTACTCTTCCGTTATTTACTGGTTATTATTTCTACTTTCAATTTATTCACTGGTTCTTGTGATGTTGTTATTATTTCCATAGTTTTTTATTGATGGTACTAATATATTGTCTCTTTTCGTCTTTTCGTCTTCTTGAGCCGAGGGTCTTTCGGAAACATCCTCTCTACCCCATCGGGGTAGAGGCAAGGTCTGCGTACACATTACCCTCCCCAAACCCCACTTGTGGGACAATACTGGGTCGTTGTTGTTGTCGTCATTTAGCATTTCTATATTTTATTGTTAGCCCATAGTAAGTGTCTATGTCGATGTCGACCCCTTGTTACTACTTCTTCGAGGTTAGACTGGATACTTACTGGGTAAATCTTGTTTATGTACTCACGCTACACTTTTGAACTAATCGTGCAGGATCTAAGGCAGGTGCATCTGCCAGTCATACCGGTGCGCACCCCCATTACCTCGAGGCCTAGTGGTGAACTGCTTTCTAAGCCCGTTCTACAGCACCTAGAGTCTCTCTTTTGCATCTATTTGTTGTCTACTTTGTTTCAGACAGTAGTTAGAGTTTTGTATATTCTACTAGTTGCTCAAACACTTGTAACACCAGGTCTTGGAACACCTACTAGTAGACTTTATGGTTTTGGAGTATTTATTTCACTGCATTTGCTCACTTATTAGCCTTCCTTTTATTTTATTAAGTTTTCTACTCCTTATTTTCTTAATAAATGGGATTCAACTACTTGGAAATTTATTAAAAAGAGCAATCACATGGTCAGTTCACCGCTGGCTTTCCTAGTGGTGACTTTGGGCGCCATCACGGCCTATAGAAGAAATTGGATCGTGACAACACGGTATCAGAGCACTAGGTTCACGTAGGTCTCACAAGTTATGAGAAGGCCTAATAGAGTCTTTCGGATCGGTGCGAAGACGTCTGTTCGTATCTTTCAGAGGCTATAGGGTGTTAGGAAACTACTTTTTCTTCGTCTCCTATCGTACAGTTGATATTGTACTAAGTAACTTTCTCTTATTCTCTCACAGATGGTGAGAACGCACGCGGCGGATGTTCCCGATCATGGAGGAGCTATTTCCCCCTATTGCGAGAGGCCGAGGGAGGGCTCAAGCTCGTGGTAGAGGACTAGGACGTCCTAGAGTTGCTCCGGTGGTGCCACCAGTGGATCCAATGGAGGATATTTCTATTGAGGAGCAGGGCAAGGTACCTACAGCGGAGCCAGCCCCAACAGATTTCATGTTAGTGCTAGAATTCCAGGAGGTCACGGGCCATATGCTACGGTTCATGGATTCTATGACTAGGCTAGTTTATTTCCAATGGACCCAACTACATCTCAGGCGGGAGGGGGAGCACAGACCCTACCACACAGGCTCCAGGGCATGCAGCTGCCATATATTAGACCCCGGGTGCACTAACCTTGGGAGGAGCTCAGCCAGTTGCAACAACTATACCTGAGCCCAGACCAGTTGCGGCTGGCAAGCCGCAGAAACTATTGGATAGATGGACCAGGCTATATCCTCCTATCTTTAGAGGTGAGAGACATGAGGAACCCCAGGACTTTATTGATCGATGCAGGGACAGACTGCATAAGATGAGGATATTAGAGTCCCACGGGGTGGACTTTACCACTTTCCACATAGAGGGCAGGGCCTGTAGATGGTGGCAGTCCTATCTTCTCGGCAGACCTGCAGGTTCTCCTCTCATGACTTTGGACCAGTTCACACGCATCTTCTTGGACAAAATATTCCACCCTCTCAGAGGGAAGAGTTACGATTTCAGTTCGAGCAGCTCTAGCTGGGCCAGATGTCGGTGAGCGACTATGAGAAGAGATTCTCTCAATTGTCTTGCCATGCACTTATGATAATTCCTACTGATGCATAGATAGTGCGGAGGTTCGTTGGGGTTTAACTCGGTTATCCATGCCACTATGTCCCAAGAAGTTGAGATGGGGGCTTCGTACGAGCTAGTTGTGGAGATAGCTCAGAGGATCAAGGGTGTTCCTTAGCGGAGCCGAGAGCAGGTGACGAGGGATAAGCGGTTTTGATATTCTGGAGCGTTCACTCGTGCTCCGGTTGGGGGCAGAGGTCAGTTTGTGAGGGGCCAATATAGTAGGCCCACATATCCACCACCGTCGCCTCCTCAGGGCGCTCCAGTGCGGCCTTATTTCAGTGCCATTCCAGAGAGATACTACCGCCTACCAGCTATTTAGGGTTCCTTCAGTGGGTATTCAGGCCATTAGGGTTAGACTTCTGGTCAGCAGTTTGCCGTACCGAGAGGTTGTTTGAGTACGGGGATCTTGGTCATGTGAGGAGGTTCTGCCCCAGGCTTCAGGGCAAGGGAGTGCAGCATGGCCAGAATCCTATGATTACAGCACCAGCTGCCACACCAGCCGTCTTGCCGCCCAGAGGCATAGGGCAGGTGAGTAGGGGCCATCCTAGAGGTGGAAGCTAGTCAGGTAGCGCTCCAACTAGGTTCTATGCTTTTCCATCAAAACCAGATGTAGTGGCCACAGATGCCGTGATCAAAGGTATTATTTTTGCCTGCGGTAGGGATGCTTTCATACTATTTGATCCAGGGTCTACATATTCTATGTTTCATCTCTATTTCCTCATTTCCTAGGTGTTCCTCATGAGTCCTTGGGTACTCCTGTTTATGTTTCCACACCAGTAGGCGATTCTGTTTGTTGTGGATCGGATCTACCGGTCTTGTACTATGACTTTCTGTAGTTATGAGACTAGAGAAGATCTTCTATTGATCGATACGACTGACTTTGAGATCATCATGGGCATGGACTGGTTATCTCTATATCACGCCATCATTGACTGCCATGCCAAGATTGTTACCTTGGCGATGCCAGAGTTGCCTAGATTGGAGTGGACGGGTTTGTCTATTAGTGCATCTAGTCGGGTTATCTCTTTTCTGAGGGCTCGACACATGGCTGAGAAGGGTTGTTTGGCTTATCTAGCTTATGTTCGAGATACTATTATAGAGACTCCGGTGATTGATTTAGTGCTTGTGGTTCGGGAGTTCTCCGATGTGTTTCCTTCTGATCTTCCGAGCATGCCACCAGATCATGATATCAATTTCTGTATTGATTTGGCTATAGGAACACAACCTATCTATATTCCATCGTATCGCATGGCTCCGAAGGAGTTGAAAGAACATCTTGAGGAGTTTCTAGCAAAGGGGTTCATCATACCGAGTGTGTCTCCTTGGGGTGCACCGATGTTATTCGTAAAGAAGAAAGATGGGACTATGCGGATGTGCATTGAATTCCGCCAGTTGAACAAAGTTACCATTAAGAAAAAGTACCCGTTGTCGCGTATTGATGATTTGTTTGACCAGTTGCAGGGTAACAGGGTGATCTCTAAGATTGACTTGAGATCGGGGTACCATTAGTTGAAAATTCAGGATTCGAATGTTCCAGAGATGGATTGTCGGACTAGAGATGGACATTATGAGTTTCTAGTGATGTCCTTAGGTTTTACTAATGCCCGACAATGTTTATGGATTTGATGAACCAGGTGTTCAGGCCATATATTGATTCATTTGTCATTGTCTTCATCGATGACATTTTGATCTACTCGCGTAGCATGTAGGAGCATGAACAACATTTGAGAGTGGTGCTTCATACCTTGCGGGAATAAAAGATATATGCTAAGTTCTCCAAGTGTGAGTTTTGGTTAGATTTTGTGGCATGCTGTATAAGGCGAGGGTATTAAGGTTGATCCCAAGAAGATCGAGGCAGTTCAGAGTTGGCCTCATCCTACCACAGCGACCGAGTTAAAGAGCTTCTTGGGGTTAGTAGGTTATTATCGTCGATTTGTGAAGGGATTCTCATCTATTACAACACCTTTGACTAGATTGAACTAGAAAGTTACTCCATTCTGATGGTCCGATAATTGCGAGGCGAGCTTTCAGAAGCTCAAGACCGCATTGACTTCAACACCGGTGTTTGTGTTCCTTCCGGTTCAGGGATGTATACGGTGTATTGCGATGCTTCATGCATTGGCCTGGGTTGTGTATTGATGCAGGAGGGGCGATTTATTGCATATGCTTCACGTCAACTGAAGCACCACGAGAAGAATTACCCCGTGTACAATTTGGAGTTAGCCGCGATAGTTCATGCTCTTAAGATCTGGAGGCATTATCTTTATAGGGTGTCCTGTGAGGTTTACGTCGATCATCATAGCTTGCAGCATTTGTT